GGCATTCCAAATTATTCTTTCTGGGTCCTAATTAAAGCGACCACGGCAGAATCCCAACGAAAAGATTCAAGTGAATTAATCACTTGTTCGTACACCTTCCATATTACAAGGCTTTCTACTAGTAAATCACATTTGTATATATATAAGTTAATAAGGATATGATTTTTAGAAGAAACTAGTTTACTGCGCGCGGGTTGGACAATTGTTTTTGAACGTGATAAAAAAAATTCAACATATATGAAACTAACTATTTAGTATTACTATTTCACAAAACCTAAGAGCATCTCCAACGGGAGATGCTTTTTAGAAGAGCTAAATTGATAATATAGCTTTTTGAATAGTATAGATATAGCTTTTTTGTTGATATTCATTTCAATAGTAAGAAGCTATTTAGAAGAGTTAATTGTATTTTAATATATTTGATACACAATTATTTTAATATAGTCTATTAATATTTATAAAAATAAGAAATCAATATCTTTCTAAGAGCATCTTTAATGAAAAATATTATATTGAAGAGCCAAATAAAAAAATAGCTTTTTAAATAGTATAAATATAGATTTTTAAATTATATGCATTCCAATGGTAAAAAGCTATATAGAAAAGCCATTTATATTTTAATATATTTCATGTTAAATTAATTTTAATATAATTATATAACTAATTTAAATATTTTATATATAATATAATTATGATGTTATTAATTACATAATTAATATGAATAATTTATAAAAGTAATATAAAATTAATGAAGTAATATAAAAGTTAAAAAATATAATTTAAAATTAAATTTAAAATTTATTTATATCAATATTTTTAATTTTTAATTTTATATGTTATTGTTAAAAATTTAATTTTTAAAAAGTAAATTCAAATTTAAATTTTGAAAAACTTATTGGCCAATGGCTATAAAAATAGCCGTTGGCCAACTGCTATTGTTTTAGCCATTTCTACAGTTAAATATAGAAATGGCTGTTAACAAAACAAATAGCCAAAATGGCTATTTGTTTAGCTTACCCGTTGGAACATGAACAGGAAAGAAATAAATGGCAAAACACTTTTAACTTTTCATATGGCTCGTCCGTTGGAGCTGCTCTAATACCTTGAATTAAACCTAATACGTCAAATTTTAAATTTTCTAGCCTCATTTCTTGTTTAGTTTGTATTTTAAATTAATATAAATAAGATTTATCTAGACATGATTTAGTTAATTTGATGAGTCTAAACCAACCTAAATAAATAGTAAAAAACATTATTTGACTTTAAAAAACTTAAGATGATGTATTTTTTATTTTAATATTAAGACACAACATGTTAGATTAACTTTACGGCTTAACCTGTTAAACATACAACGTGATCATGATATCCATTAGGTTCAATTTTTTTTTTTAAATATTTTTTCTTAATGATATAATAATAATATTAGACACTTGTAAAATTGAGTAACAATCAAATATCGAGATATTTGTTTAAGATTGCAATAAACTTATAGAAAATAAACCGAAACAAAATGGTGAATACTTATTCAAAATCAACCAAATATTAAAGGATCAAATTAGAAGAAAAAAAAATTCAATCAAAAGAAAATAATTGAAAAATGACTTTTTTAAAGAAAAAGGCAATAAAGAGCCTTACCTAGCAGATTAATTTTAAAATCTCCCAACCTAACTCTTATCAATTTTAAAATGTCTTGACCTAATTTCTTATTTAGCATGAGTTTAAAATTAACTAACTTAAAAATTGCTTTATGTGACTTGGCCTATGTGACTTGACCAATTTAACCAGTTTAAAAACAACTTAAATAAGAAGTAAAAAAGTAAGATTTAACTTTAAAAACAATTTAATATAATATTATTTTTTAATATTGAAATGATAATATATTAAATTGATCTGGACTTCACTCTTAAACTGATAAATTTATAATTTCTATCATGGATTTCATTGGATTTAATATTTTTTTTTATTTTTATTTACTTAATGATATTATAATAAAAATAGATCTTCATAAAATTAAATATTAATTAAATATCAAAATGTTTGTTTGAAATTATGATAATTTTATTAAAAATAAATTAAAACAAGTTAATTTAATGATGAAATTAAATTAAAAAACTAAAAAAATAATAATCAAAAGATAAAATTTAACCAAAATAAAATAAAAAACATGAACAACGAGTAGCCGGAGCTGACGCCAGTTGCTTTAGTAGAGCAGGTAAAACATCATAGTCAGTAGATCTAAGCTAAGCTCCTTTTATGATCACAAGATAAGATACAGACAAGCCATGACTGAGTGGGAGAACAAAACGAGAAATCCCAGACAAAAGAAAGCTAACCATCGAAGCGTAGCATGTTTAACAGGTCGACCTTGAATTGGTTCTGCAACACTAAACTTGATATCTTCGATGAAAAAGAAAGACCTGGGGAGGCCACAACCACCAATTCCGTCACCTTCAAAATCGTTGTGGCGGCTCAGTTGAAACTTTCCGGCACATTTTATAGGCCAACCAAGCATATATAGGGTCTAGTTGTAGGTTGCGGCTGCCATTGCAAAGCACAGAACATTGAGAAAAGAAGAGCTATACTTTACACTCTAGAGTGGACAAAGCAAACAATCTAACTCAAACAACAGAAGGATTCCACTCCATTTTCTGCACTCTGTCAGCATCGCCTCAACAACAGCTGATTTTCTAGGGACCCCCAACGTGGATCTTAGGATCAAGCTTAGAAATAAACCACAAACACTTGTGCCGATTGAGCACCATGCATTTCAGGAAGGGATAGATCCCATAATTTGAAGCAATCAGCAACATAAAATAACATACAATTGGATATTCATCCAACATATAATTTGAATAATATAAAAATATTCATGACTTTCTATTTCAAAGAGCATGAATGTTATTATATTTTTTAGAGAAATAGTTAAAATAACTTTTTATCTACTTTAGTTAAAACTAGAGTAGAGCATAAACCATTTAAAAAATCTCTAAAATCAAATAAACAGTGCATAAATTATAATTAAAAACTTAACAAAATCAGAATAGAGAAAAAAAAAAACTTATCTCTCATAAACCGAACACGTCTAATCCAACAGAACTAGAACAATACCCTCCTAAATAACCAGCAAGCAACCTAGTACAACCATATTTATTTAATATTAAATCCTGCAACACCCATACCAAGCCCTGCAAAAACCATGCCAGAGCCTGCAACACCCACTAATTATAAAAAATAAAAAGCCTAAAATCCTGCAACACCCATATCAAATCCTATAACACTTAACAATTTTAAAAAATCAGACGCCTCAAATGCTGCAATGGTCAACAATTTAAAAAAAATCAAAGTCTCATGAAGAACCCAAGCCAAAATCCATCTAAACTCACTAGCTCAGCTAATACAGGCGTTTCTTCTCCTGAGAAGAACCATTAATGTAAAAAAAAAAAACAACTCGAATATGTTAAAGCCTTACACAAAGCCAGCAAAACTCATACTGGCATGCTACACCAACAAAGAAATGCTCACACTCCTCTAAGAAAGGAGCATATAAGCAAATCTCTAGATAGCCTCGCATTGCACCAGAAGACCACATAGAAGCAAATTAGAACATTGATGATTCTAGGTTGGGAGATAGAAGGATTGCACAGTGGCGCTTGCCAAGTGGATATAAAACTATGAACTTGTTGTTTGGTTTATCTCCAAGGAATTCTCTGGTGCAAAAAGAAAAAAAATAAAAAAGCTGTTATCTGTCAATAAAAGATAGGGAGAAATATGGTAGGGAGCTTGCCACGTAGCCACGAAAACTAAC